TCTAGTTTCTGCTTAGCTTCCTATGTCTGAAGTTACTGGCAAAAGAGCAAGCAAAACCTTCCTTGGATGAGAAAAAATTCCATCTTGGATAAAACTTATCAAATGCCAGCGCCATGTTTTTATTCGTCGATGTTTTATCTTTATGTTCTTCTTGTATCTTTAGTAAGTGAAGAAGAACTCTGACTTGGAAGGTATTTGATAATCTTCCATTGTAGCTGAAAGCTTTTTTCCGGGTCTGGAAAGCAGAGCCAGTATGAATCTTTGAAAAAGAGTGGCTTTTTGTGACTGTGAGATTTCTCTGTGCTAGAAAGGTGGTTCTTTTGATCTCTCTTCTCACTGAGAAACTACTCAAAAATCTGCTCAAGAATTGATCCTACCTTAACAAAATCTATGGGAATAGAAGAGAATCCTGTGGTCCTCTAACAAGTAAAAAACTTGAGGACAAAGATATAGAAGCAAAAGAGAAGAAAATGCAGGCAAAGGAAAAATGGGATGGAGAAAAAATTGTTTGGTCATTTCTTATAAGCAAGAATGGTATAAACATGGTATAGGATTTCCTACTATGTTAGACTCGCTGTGGCTCTGCCATCTTCACATTCATGATTGTCATAATTTCATGGCCAACACTCTTATTGGATAGTGTCATCAAACACCTGGTGACATAAGGAGTGCCATTCGGAGAACATTTCTCTACCAACCTTGTGACCGAGGGCAAATGTCAGATGCCTTCAAAATAGCCTTTAGAGAATTCCTGGGAAATGTTTAACAGGATATCACATAACAGATTTTCTATCAAAGTTAGCCGTGGAAAATTCTGTGAGGCTTTAAACTTCGCCTATGAACCAAATGGGTAAATATAAATTAGAATTCATGTCTTCAGCTGTGACTGATGAATCATACTTCTGAGGAATCGAGAAATTGGGATGCTTAACGATGAGAGTAGAGGGTACATGAGAGCAAACAGAAAGCCTGCAACCAGGTGGTAAACGTTAGTGAAAGACATGAGAGTACATTTTTGATACACAGAATGTGAAAATGTTAAAAAAAATTTCTTTAAAGAAACTTGCAGCATTCAAAATTTCTCATTTATGGGGCCAGCCCTGGCTGCCTAGTGGTTAAGTTCAGCACACCTCACTTTAGTGGCCTGGGTTCAGCTCCCAGGTGCAGACCTACACCACTCATCTGTCAGTGGCCATGCTGTGGCAGTGGCTCACGTACACAAAGAGGAAGATTGGCAGCGATATTAGCTCAGGGTGAATCTTCCTCAACAACCACAAAAAAAATATCTCTCATTTATGGGGATAAGTTGGTTGTGGAAACAGGGCATTAAGAAAATAGTCAGAGCAGAAAAAAACACTGCGCTCCAGATTCAAGTGAGTGTTATGCAATGTGATGCTATCAGTGCAACACTTAGTCACAGGCTCATAATTCAAGAAAGTACTTCAGAATATTCTCTAGCCACGCCTTTCTGCCAGGAAGAGTTACTCTGAACCATCCTAAAATCTAGGAAGAAAAGTATTTCTCTGTTTCCCTCTTTCCCTCTTTTTAAGATTCTTCTGTAGATAGAACATCTTTATTATTCAAACTACCTTTCTCAGTTCAATAGGCTCTTCTCAGTGGGGAAAACTTCAATATACATAGCTTAGTTTTCCCATTAATTAGGAGAAATAAACAATTAACGAGAAAGTAGGAAGGAAAAACAATACTTTTCTTCATGCGCGTGACCTTCTGAGATGAATTCAAGTCACAAGATGCACAGACATCTGGCATGCGATCCACAAATGGCTCTGAATTCAAGAATAGTTACAAGATGTTAGCAAATGGATGTTTAACATCTTTTTCATGTTTATTGAGGAAATTTGTCAGATAATCCAGTCATATTTATTGTTTCTGCTGTGTGCACAGCCCTGAACTTGACTCAGCTCAAAACCAAAACTGATCTCCAATTAGATACTAATACCTTAACTATATTCCCAACAGGCCACAGCTGAGCCTGAATTTGGCATCAAATGTTCTTCCTACTCTTTCTTTTCACTTTATCCACAAAGTGTTATTTATCCTGTTTTCATTTGTATGAATCTTATATTAGGATGGATGAATTGGTTCCTAGATTCAAAATAAACGGAGGAAGCTGAAACTGATGGGAAATGAAAAGCCATGAATAAAAGACCCTGTAATTGTTCCAAATTGGTGGCACAAAGGCAAATTCCTTACGGAGATTTGTTTTTTAAATGCAAATTCCCAGACCCCACAGAAGAGCTTCCCATTAGAATTTCCAAGTGTGGGATCTGAATATACGCGTTTTCAAAAAACCATAGGTGACAAAAGGGAACTCCAGGTAAAAATCACCGAATGACATCAAATAGTGTAGAGCATTTTCATATTACAGATGAAAATATGAGTTTATAAGATCATCCAATAAAACACTTTCTCCTTTAAGCAGAGCCTGGCATCAGAACCTTCAGCACCAGTACCGTGATTGACAGGCGGCCAAGCACACACGTTGTACTTCAGGGCACATCTTGGGCATCTTTGGGGATGTAAAGGATATGCCTTCCTTGCCTTTATCTTGTTGAGATATAAATGATTTTCCTTTATTAGGACTCTATTTCCTGAGCAAAATTTAATTAATTAATGTGTGTGTGTGTGTAACGGCCTGAAACAGTGCTTCTTAAAGTGTGGGCCTCAAAACACCTAAGCTAAAATCCCTGAGGGGCTTCTAAAAATTTTAGATTTCTGGTTCATCCATGTTGTTGCAAATGACAAGATTCCCTTCCTTTTAAGGCTAAATCATACTCCATTGTATATACACCACATTTTCTTTACCCATTCTTCTGTCCGCGGACACTTAGATTGTTTCTATATCTTAGCCATTGTGAATAATGCTTCAATGAACATGGGAGTGCAGATATCACTTCGAGATAGTGATTTCATTGCCTTTGGGTATATACTCAGAAGAGGAATTGCTAGCTCATGTGGTAGATCTATTTTTAATTTTTTTTTAAAGATTGGCACCTGGGCTAACAACTGTTACCAATCTTTTTTTTTTTTTTTTTTCTGCTTTATCTCCCCAACCGCTCCTGTACATAGTTGTATATCTTAGTTGCAGGTCCTTCTAGTTGTGGGATGTGGGACGCCACCTCAACATGGCCTGATGAGCAGTGCCATGTCCGCGCCCAGGATCAGAACCCTGGGCCGCCACAGCAGAGCACACGAACTTAACCACTTGGCCACGGAGCCGGCCCCTATTTTCAATTTTTTTGAGAAACCTCCATGTTGTTTTCCACAGTGGCTGCACCCATTTGCATTCCCACCAACAGTGCATTAGAGTTCCTTTTTCGCCACATCCTCACCAACCCTTGTTATCTCTTGTCTTTTTGAAAATAGCCAGCCTAACAAGTGTGAGGTGATAACTCATTGTGGTTTTGATTTGTATTTCCCTGATGATTAGCAATGTTGAGCACCTTTTCATACACCTGAAAAGAAAATGGTAACTATATGAGGTGATGGATGTGTTAATTACTTTGATTGTGGTAATCATCTCACAGTGTATACACATATCAAAACATCCTGTTTACACCTTAAATATATACAATTTGTATTTGTCAATTATGCCTCAACTAAGCTGGAAAAAAATTTGATTTCTGGACCACACCTCAGATGTACCAAGTCAGAATTCCTGGGGGTGAGGTATAACAATTTACATATTACGCCAGCTGCCCAGGTGATTCTCCTGCACTCCACGATTTCAGAGACACCAGATTCCGTGCTCTCTGAGGTCTCCAACTGTCTATAACTCAGTCATCATTCCACAACAGTCAAATAGACACCTTCTAATTTCAATCTTGCCCTCTATTCCTGAAAAATCCCTCTGTTCTTTTCCTAGTCTATTCTAACCTGCATGTTTGATTAAATTACAATTCTCAGCATAAGTTAACATGCAGCTGCTGGAAACTTTCAAATGGGGATTGTATTGGCTATAGCTAGAGTCTACTGGAAAAACGTCGATTAAGTAAATCCTTGAACAAGATGTTTTTTGAATTTTTTAAAAAAGATATCCGTTGGATGAAATATGGTGGAGAAAATATTCTTTTCTAAAATAATCTCTGCAAATAGCCGTTACATTTTTAGCTACAAGGTGAATCATATGCAATATAGCCACATGCAAATACGCAATAAAACAGCAGGGTTAAGCCAAATCCCGCTGTCACCAAGGATATTTATACTGTACGTAAAGTGTTTTCAACAGGAGGATTGAGACATTTTCGACTCGGCTTATAAGAGGAATACTGCTCTCTTCTAAAGGAATACAGAGAAAGGCTGATGCATATTCAGAAATACTTCTTCATTATAGTTACTTTTTTTCTCAGGTGTATGTAAAGGTGCTCGTATCTTTTAAGAGTAAAACTCACTACCCGGTATTGATCCTACAAAGATTAAGAAGTTTTCCATTGTTGTTTCTAATCTGGTGCTTCTGAACTGTAAAGTAGACACCTTAGATGGTTTGATATAGGGCATTTATCCCCTCCCCTAAGACTCTCAGACTCCTAAAATACGTCTATAGCTATTCTATTGGCGCCCCAGAATCCTTATATAGGGGACATGGTATTTTCTTCTACAATCATTAGTCCCTGGGAAAGGGAGCACAATGGGTTTCATTTGCTCTAATATGAAAATAACTGAAAAAAGTCCCTCGAGGTTGGGTTTTCTCCAGGAGGGGCAGATGTGGTGAGATGAGGAGGGGCACCAAGCAGTGAATGGTGCACCTTTGGCGCAAGAATTGAGGGTGGATGTCAGAATTCAGGCAAGGTTAACTAGGCTATTTTTTTTTTTCATCACAAGCAGCCACCTCTTGCCTGCTTCTAACACACAATCAAGGATAATTTGCTTTCTCGCTGCTTCTCACACCCACGACAGAAAAGTAAACCCACTTCCCTTCCCATTCAACGTAACAGAGAATATGTATCCACCAAGAAGGAAACTCCACACAGGCGAGAGGATTATGCTGGTTGAGACGAGTTTATTTAGAGTTTGACAGACACATCCACAACTTTAGCACGACAAGAGTCGTGAGCCTGGTGAAAAATTCAAAAGAAATACATGTTTGGGTGGCAAGTTTCTGAAAATGTCCCAACAAACATCATCCAGGGAAGGCAGCTGGTGGGGTGATCTGGTTTTTCATTTTCTTCTCTTGGAACTCTGGTGCTAGGTCTGGAAAGCAGCGACTGGGAGGTTGATGAGCAAGTGAGGACTAAAGAAGTAGATAAAGGAGGGACCTGGAGATGTGCCTGTCAGCCTTCAGGGGAGAGAAGATTCTATGCCTCGGGTATTACAGCAAATCAGTAGAGAGCAAATGGCCAGGATCTCCTGTAGCCGAAAGCCCCACAGCCATTGTAGCCATAGCCGAAGCCATAGCCCACGGGGGAGTAGGTGCTGCCGTAGCCACAGCCAACGCTGTACCCCAGAGGGTAGCCCCAACTGCCCCAGTAGGACCCTGGGAAGACGGCACCGGAGAAGCTGTTGTAGCACATGGTGTCAGGAGTGAAGGCCTAGGTAGCAGGAGAATGCGTTTCCTCAGTGTGATGGATTCCCTGGTCTCTGAACCCTCTTTATATACCCGGGCTACGGGGTGTGGTGAAAAACACGAGGCCCTCATTTTCATGCTTGACACCAATTTGCATCACAAAAAGCTCGTTAATTTGTTTTGCTCTTGCTTAAGGATGTCTTTACAGTTGTTTAAGAGAGCTCTCACATGAGAGAATGCAGGGACAGGATTCCTTCAAACCAACAGTGTGCCTTTACTAAAAAAGTATGGCAGTGACTTCAAAGCATCAGATCTTACAGACCCTAGACACAATTCTCTGTAAGCAGGCTTTAGTCTAAGAAGATTCCAAGCTTGTTAACTGTTCCTTGTGCTCTATGAATTTCCACAACACACAGTTGGAATTCAATAAATATATCCTGTATAAATTAATAAATGAAATAAATACATAATGAGTCCATCTAAAAATCAAGGTATTTATTAGTATTCACTTTGATGCGGGGTCGGTGAGCCGAGGAGTCGAAAGAAAGATTTCTTGGACTCTCAAGATCTGGCAGTAGTGCTCTTTTATTTAGAGAATAGTGTAGCATGGGGACAGGACCCATGGGCAGTCAGAGCTTCTGCTGCTGCCTCTTCTGCTACCCCCGGTAGCATGGGGACAGGACCCATGGGCAGGCAGAGCTGGTGCATGGGGACAGGACCCACAGGCAGTCAGAGCTCCTGCTGCTGCCCCGAGCTGAGGGTTAGGGCTAATTTTATAAGGCATGGGTATGTGAGTCATCTCTTTACAAGACAAAGGAAAGAACATGGAAAAAAGTTAAAATGGTATCAGTGCAGGTGGGGTCTGGTCGTTGGGTGATCCCATGACTTTTAGACAAGAATCAAATCGGATTAAGCAAAGGTTAGAAAGGTTAGAAGCCACCACCCTAAATCAGTTACATGAGATTGCCAGACAGCAACCAACTTAAGTTCTTGCCTTCCCCATTAAGAGTTTCTAGGGACAAGGTCATCTCTCTTCTTCCTGGTACAGAGAGGGAGGCACCTTTTACAGATAGAGATTTACCTTACAAATGTAAATGTGTCCCAAGAAGGGCAAGTTCCATTCCCCAGGGCCTCCTTCCCTCTCCCAGTTTATCGAAAGCAATGAGCCCAAAACAATCCCGAAGCCAAAGAGACACATCCTGGGGTGGCCAATTTCAGGTCCCTACAAGGTCATCCCCGCTTCCTTCACAAACGCAAATATCTCTCAAAGAGCAAGCAAATTCCAGTCCTCAGAGCCTGCTTCTCATCTGCAGTTTTAAAAGTAACCAGCCTAAAAATCCTCATCATAAACCGTTTTAAAATTAAGCAGCCTAAAAATCCTCATCAACTTGATTAAAGAATTCTCTTTTTCGGCAGTATTCAAGACAAATGCCGTCAGAAAGGGCTTTTCAGAAAGACTCCTTTTTGTCTCTATCCATAGAGACCCTGTTTAGAAAAGTGGTTGAGAATTTAATCTAACTATAGTCCCCACCTGAACTATATCTAACATCACATTTCTAGGCTACACTGCCTGAACTAATAATCTCGTAATTATTAAAAAAATATGGAGTTTGTGGATTGATCCTAGAAATAAATTGTCAAACAAATATGATTTGTTGATCTGATATACTTTTTCAAGTCAACATTGAAAATAAAAACAAAGTAAAAGCAGAAAAAATGAATGGGAAATTTTATCCAAAATCTATAATTTTTTTTTCCATTTCAGCTAATAAAAGCAGATTATCTGGCAAATGTGATGATCTTGTGAAGGGCCAGGTGACAATATTAAATCAACATTATTTCACTTTGAGAATGCGCATGCACCCCAGGGTAGGGAAGAAAGGTCAGTCCTCTCTAAATGGAAATTTGGTCCTCAAAATGAATTAAAAGAGAGATGAGATTGATCAAAACTATCTCCAGTCATGCAAGATCTAATAAATTATTCCCAGATGTCTGCACTGAGATTCCCCAGAATGGCACTTAGAAAACTTACAGGAAGTACAGCGTGAGAGGATACATGGCATAGAAATAGAAAGACACCAAGCTACAAGAAATAATTCTTAGAAGACCATAGAATGGATATGCATTATATACTACCCCCCCAAAATTTTACTTCAGATCCTGGAAGTAGCTTGCCTCCCTGTTACCAGCACCAAAGATCTAAATTTCTGGGAGCACATGGAGATCACAGGTTGAATCCACAGGCGAGGTGAGACACTTGGAAAAATACAAAAGTGTACCAGCGTTCTAACCACTAATTGGTTAATTATAGCAGAGGTATTTTTGAAAATATACAGTGGTGCCCCATGATCCTTCTTTATGAACAAAGCTGTGTGGCCACCTAGGATGAGTCAGCATTTAAAATTCAAACACCTCCTGTGACTTATAGCTAAATCAGGCGAGGGAATTAAAATTCACTTTATTCCCCAAACATAAAGATACTGACCAGCAGATCCTTCCCTAAGAATCATGGAATTATTTATGTGATATTTCTACTATCGTCACATTGCTCTGCTTCATAAAGAAAAAACTAGTAAAGTTTGGAAAAAAGAAATTTTCAACCCAAAACGGCACTGTACAACAGAAAAGGAAAAAGATTTGAATTAATGCCGGAGTTCAGTGACGATGCTCTCTTAAGTGAGTCCATCCCCCACCTGCCTATGCAATCTGACAGGATGGCTGGCTTTGCCCCCATAGCACAATCAATACTCAGCTCTGCATCTGAGTAGTAATGATGAATAAAAATTAAAATATATCATCTTTTTAAAAACTTAAAGCCCTATTTACAGGAAACATCCTGAATTTTCTCTAGAAATTCTACAAAAAATCCTAACACAAGAACACTTCAGGGAAACACATTATTTATCAAGTCATTTAAAAACGAAATTAATGCTACATTGGGCCTTTGAAAGCTTTATTCTGATATAGGTTTATCAAGGGAGGGTCCAGGTTTTGTAGAGCCTGAAGTTTACACGATGTTGAGAAACCTCTTTGTGAAAAAGAATACAACATAAAAATATAAAATTAAGTACAAAAGTAAATATTTGTTAACATGCTAAATCACAAAAATTAAAGCACTCACAAATCACAAATATTGTAAAATTCTGAAAAAGTATTTTTACTACTAGACTGTCTGACATACTTCTATAATATTTTTACCGCAGACTAGCTTCCAGCTCCATCATTTCAAACTATTTTCTTCCTCGACTCTCATTCTGTGCTGTGTGCCACGGGACAAGTTCATACTGAGATATGACATTTGGTCCTGCACCTTCATGTCGCAAATTCTGGGCAAATTGGTGATAGAAAATTCCTGGAAGCCATCCCCATAAAAGGATGGCTAGATATAGCCTAATAAGACAGAAGTGACTGGAAACCACATAAATCTATCCCCTCCTACTCAAATTGAATGTGTTTCCTACTCAACTTCTCCCTTGCCAGATCCCAAAAAGGTCCATGGCCTCCCCAATGCTCCCCAACACGAGAGCAAGTGTGATTAGCAGTGGTCTAAACCAAATGCAGTTAAAATGTCTTACTTTTGTGAGTTTCTCCAAAAAAAATAGGGTCATGTGACATGGAGGTTTAAGAAAGAAAAATACTACATTCTCACATATGAAATGACATAGCATTGGACTAATCATTGCCGGATATTTATTGGTTTGGATAAAGCTCATGACTCTTTTCTGTTTATAACAATCCTAAGATATTAATTAATAATTATTTGATTCTCCTTTCATGTTTCCCTGATTTCAGATCAGGTGTGACATGAATAAAGATAGGGAAAATTCTTGCTCTACAAAGGAGCAAGAAAGGTATTGTGTACAGATTTTAGAAATAGAGTTAATTCCAGCATGCACAAAAAGACAGTTGTCTTATAAGCTTCAAATATAGTTTCCAGCTTCAAAATACTATACTTCACTAGAAATGAGAGAGAAATTACAAGGGAATGATTTCAATGAGTTTTCTAATACACATCAATGTTTACTCTATAATACAGAAATTATCACCCATTCATCTTTTCAAACATTTATTTTTACACACATTTTTCGAGCATCTACTCTGTTCCAGGCATTTTGTTATGTGCTGAGAATCTAAAGATGAATGAGAAATTGTAATTAAATAGAAAATGATAAATAAATGAAAATACAATGTTATACGTTCTACCCTAGAAGTTCACACTGCCCTCTGTGAATTCCAGGGGTAAAGGAGAGTGTGGACAATCTTACCCGAAGGAGGAGTAGTGGCCAGGAAAGCTCCATCATGAAGGGATAGATGTTTGAGCTATGTCTTGAAAATGGGTATTTTACTAGCGAACATTAGTTAGGGAGATGGTGGGTTTAGAGGATATTCCAGAAAGAAGTGTTTTAAAGCGAAGTCTCAAAGGTAGTAAGTAGTACATTGCCTTCCAAGAGTCCTAGATGATTCAATGGGGCCATAGCCTTGGATGTAACAGAGAATTAATGGAAGATGGAGCTGGAAAGGTAGTCAGGGGGCGTATGAGGCTGTATGTTCTGTGGCGGCAAAGGGAGCCACTCCTACACTAAGCTAGGGGTGGCATAACCAATTTCTCATGTTAGAAAGATCACTACTCTGACAGTGTGGAGGATGAATTAGAATTGAGAAACCCTGGAGGGATGAAGATCAGTTTTTAAATTGTATTCATTAGGAGTGCTTTTGGCTACAAGTAACAAAAGCCCCAGCTGAAAGTTGCTTAAACAAAGAGTTTATTTTTCCCAAATAATAGAAAATGAGAACATAGGCAATTCCAGGTTGCTTCAGGGCTTAACAATGTCAGGCTTCAGAGCTGGCTCTGCCATGATCTTCTCAGTCATCTCCTCATGGCTGCAAGATGGCTACAGCAGGTCCATCCTTCACATTCTTAGCCATCAACATCCAAAACCAGGAGGGGTAAAACAGGACTTCTCCCACAGATCCTTTTTATTGTCTATCTAGAAGGAATTCATTTCACATTTACCTTCCAGCGGATTTCCTTCAGGTCCCATTGTCCAGAGTTGAATAACATGTCATGG